GAAGGAGTCGTGGCACAGTTGCCTAGCATGTGAGAGGCCCTATACTTTATCCTCAGCACTACACACACAAAAATAATAAAATAGATGAAAATATAATCATGAAGATTTTTGAAAGTTGTAAGTTGGGTATTAAAAACACTATTATTGCTGAGTGTGGTAGTACACAACTGTAATCCCAGCGGCTTGGGAGGCTGAGGCAGGAGGATCACAAGTTCAAAGCCAGCTTCAGCAATTTAGCAAGACCCTGAGCAACTTAATGAGATCCTGTCTCAAATAAAATATAAAAAGGGATGGGGATATGGCTCAGTGGTTAAGCACCACTGGGTTCAATCCCTGGTACCAATAAATAAATAAATAAATAAGACTATTATTGCCAGGCATGATAGCACATACCTCTAATCCCAGTGACTCAGGAGGCTAAGGCAGGAGGATCACAAATTCAAGTACAGCATAGACAACTTAGTAAGATCCTGTCTCAAACTTTTAAAAAATAATAAAATGGGCTGGGCATGTAGCTTAATGATAGAACACCCCTGGGTCAATGCCCAGTACTAAAAAAAAAAAGAAGAAAGAAAGAAAAAAAAAGGACAAACCTATGGCAAGATTTATCAAGAAAAAGAAGGGGAAAAAAAGAAAGAGATATAAAAGGTGAGAAAATATTAGCAACAATTTAATTTTATTTAACTGGAAAACACACATAATGGAATAATCCATGGAAACTGTAACTTAAAATTAAAGAATAAATAGAAAACCTAGAGTTCAGAGTGTGGCTCAGTAGCAGAGTACCTGCCCAACATCAATAAGACCCTGTATTTGATCCCCAGCATCACAAGAAGAGAAGGAAAAGAAAAAAAAAAAAAAAAGACATTGGGACACTTCTGCATTATCAATTCTAGTTTATTATCATTCAAAATAATTGAATTGGTAGTTTAAAATCTTCCCATGTGTGAACATACATAAATCAAAAACACACAAAATCAAGTGTAGGGGGAAAAATGTTTCTTTTTCATCTTAGGTTCATGGCTGAAACCGCAATAAGAACAGACAATGCAAGAAAAGCACACATTGCTTTTTGTTGTTGTTGTTGTTGTTAGCTTTTTATTTTTTATGTTTTCAGTAATGGGGATGGAACCCAGAGCCTTGTGCATGCTATACAAGCACTCTCCCACAAATCTACATCCTCACCCACAAATTTATTTAATGTAAGTTTAACCTGACATGGGACCTTCATAAAGAAAAGAAGAGCTGAAGAAAAGAGTGCACCTGTGTACTTTTTCTGCAAGGGATGATGAAGTGGATAGTCATGGTAGCATGGTGAAGCATCAGTGGGCAAAGGGGTATTGACCTGATGGCAATAGCTAGGGGGACTTACAAGGCTGGTGTGTTCAGGTTTTTTGCTGTGTCTGTGTCTTCAGAGATAAGGGCGTTTCTATCCTTAGGGCACAGGAAGGGCACTTCTTGAATGAGGATCTTGTAACCTGCTTCAAGGAAAAGTTACCGGAGATCGATATCTCCCTCCCTCCCTC